AGCTGGTTGGGAGCCTTCTGGACGGAAAGGTGGAAAGGTGTAATGCAGAACAAACGCTGGTAGGCGAAAAATGCTTTCGGGTGCCTCACTCTCTCCCACGTCCCGCTGCCTCAAAATCCTCTTGACGTTGACTCTGAGCTCCTCCTGTAAGACGAAGGAGAGAGATTTCTTTGCCATTCCACAGTCGTCCATGCAGTGGACCTGCAAAGGTTCACAACAAATCTGCCCAGCAGAAACCCTCACCATATCGCTCTTGGAGTTCCAGCTGAGTTTTGAGCAGCACTGACATCGTTCCCGTGTATCTGCCAACAAAAATACCTTCTCTCTTTCCAGATGCCTCCCCCTGTTCGCGCCGCGGTGGTTTCTGCAGTTCCAGTCATGCCTCGTCCCCCCATGACTTCGGTGGTCCGTTTGCCGCCGGGATCCGTCATAGCCGCCCCCATGCCCCCGATAATCCATACGCCGCGGATCAACGTCGTCCCCATGCCACCGTCTGCTCCGCCCATCATGAGCCCCCGCCCTCCTCCCATGATTGTCCCAACAGGTTGGTAACCCCGGTCCTTTAATTGTCAACCGATTCCTGTCTATAGGGGGTTGAGATTCGATTAGCCACCCGCCTTGGCCTCTTCATCTCCCTTCATGAAGGCAGGTACTGGGATTGGTAACTCCTAACCCATGTTAGGAAGGTTTTGGTGGTTGATACAACATTTCTGGCAATACTCCTGCTTCTAGACTTAAAAATCCGAGGTTCTGCCTTGCTGGTGGAATATTTCCACCCGTCTGGCTTCCCCGGGAACCTGACCACCGTTATCCCTTGTGCCTTTCTGGGTGTTGCAGCATCTTGCAGAAGCTCCTGCTGCAGAAGGAGAAGCGATTGTCTAGGCTTGTTTCTTATAGCAACTTAATAGCATTAGGTTTTTAAGTTGAAAAGCACAATGTGAAAACAGTATTTTAATTTCACCGAGGGGCTGGCGTAGCTCTGTGTCAGGCAGAGGTGTGGTGTTTGTTTTTTTTTTTTTTTTTTTTTTTTTCCTTTTGTGAGAGCTGCAGGAAGCTTCTGTGCTGCTTGTGCCTGGACTGTATCTGTAGTAATGACTGTCTAACAGGCTGAGCCTGCCTGCTGCCATCAGTTGCGCTGACTTCCTCACTATAATGTAGCATTTTTCTCAGCTGCTGCCCGCCCACTGAGGTGTTTGGATAAGGAAGTATCTGCTGCGCGCTCAATGTGTGTGACTGCAAGTTTTGTTCCCCCTTCTGTCCCGTTTCAGCATTTGTTCCGGCTCCTCCTGTGGCACCGGTTCCTTCCCCCGCTCCAATGCCTCCCGTTCACCCGCCGCCGCCTATGGAGGATGAGCCAGTTTCGAAGAAGCTGAAGAGTGAAGACAGCCTGATGCCAGAAGAGGAGTTTCTGCGCAGGAACAAGGTATGCTCAAACACTGCTGCACTCGTACAGCCACTGTGAAGAGCTGGAGTTCTGACCCTGCAGAAGCTTCCTGTGCCTAAAGAGGATGTGAAATCAAGGGCCCGATGCACAGAGAATGGCATGCAAAGAGAATGTGACTTCCCTAGAGGGCTCCTTTCTACTGTCATTCCTGAGAACATTTAGGTACTTTATATCTTACTGGAAAGAGAGCAATGCTGCGTACAGCAGCTTAGTGAAGTGGTGCTTTTCTGTACAGTAATTAAGGACAGTAAGAAGTGGGTTCATTTCAATGTAAAGAAGAGCTCAAGCTGCTAATCGGCTTTTAATCAGGAGACTGCTAAGCTGCAGATGCAGGGAGATTTAATACCTCAATGTCAACACATTAGCATCATGACATGCTATATTCCTTAGTAATGGGAACTGAACATTAGACTGAATTCCTTCCTTAATATTGCCTTCCTCCTGGATTGAATTTTAAATACTTTAAGAAGGGAATAATGTCTTCCCAGTCACGTGCAGAGTGAGGCTGTCTCCTGCTTAATGCTTTGGTATATTTGCGTTCAGGTAACGCTGAATGCAAGAACTTTACTGTTAGTAGCATATGGGCTCTTAGTGAATGGCAAGGACTGGTGAGGGAAATCCAGCTAAATATGTAATTTTGGTAGCTGTTCAGTGACTTTCTTAGCACTGAAGGCAAAGATGTTCTGTGTGAGACATGATAGTATCAGAAATGTCTGTAAATAACTTGTCTGCTTCTGTGTTATCAGGGTCTGACTTGCCTTGCCCGTGAGACGTTACCTTTGTTTTCTTGTAGGGTCCAGTCACAGTCAAAGTCCAGGTTCCCAACATGCAGGACAAGACTGAATGGAAGCTGAACGGCCAAGTCCTGGTGTTCACCCTCCCGCTTTCAGACCAGGTATGTTGTTTATTAACCCAGCCTTTACCCCCTGTTGCAGAACGTCTTTGCTCTGGGAGCAGCCGTTGACCGGCTTGACTGGAGCTGTAAAACTCTGGGTGCTCCCTCTGCTGCGGCCTCTTGACGAGGGAGATTGTGAGGCCGGCGGAGCTGCTTGTACAAAACAGGCCTGACTGAGCAGGCCCTTTGATTCTTCCCAGGTATCCGTTATAAAGGTTAAGATACACGAGGCCACAGGGATGCCAGCTGGGAAACAAAAGCTGCAGTATGAGGTGAGTGTAAGCCCTTTGAATGCTGCTTTATTTTAGTACTTTGCCACAGAAATACTGACTTTCTATTTAAAGAAAGTGGGGAAAAATCACAAATGCATCCACTTCAGTAGCAGGGAAAGCAGAGGGGAGTGGTTTTTCTGCTGGCACAGCTCTGTTGGCTGTGGTATTGCACAGTATTTTACCAAGGAGGGCCCCTAATAGGTCGCATCAAGTTAATAGGTGGATGTTCACGTTTTCTGTTGTACGTGAGGCCTTGGAGGCCTGGTGGCTTTCTCTGAAATCAGCCTCCTGCAAATGAAGGCTGTGACATCCTCAGTGTAAGTGCTAGCAGGATCGTAGTGTCCTGTTGCTCACCAAGGCAAGTACTTCATCACAACTCTCTTGTGAAAAGCTTTTTGCTTGCTTGTTTGATTGTTTTCACATTAAATAAAGCAATTTTTTGTGGTGCGTGTTCTGGAAAGAGGGGGGAAATACCCCGAAGCCCTGGTGACTCAAAGGGTTTTCCCAAAACATGGAAGGAAAAAGGTTTCGCTGCCTCTTCCTACCGCGACTGGAGCTACTAGAGAGGCTGTTTCTTGCGAAGAACTTGTAGTCCTGTGTCTGCACATACCCAAGCTGCTGCCTAAGCAGTGCCCTTTGTGCTCTTGCCTCCCCAGCCTGGGGACCCTTAGCAACAAATGCAGCTTAACTGTGTTTTTCAGAGGGGGAGGGAGAAGGTGAAAAAAACCCTAAATAGCCTTATTTGTAGTGGTGACCACAAGCCCCATATATGTGTAGGGATGTACACTGGCTGTTTGTGCTCTTGTAATTCCCCCTCCACCAGTGCCAGTCTTCTGAGATCTCCGCAGGGTTTTGCTTTCGGAGACTGCAGTATCCTAAGGGCCAAGGGCTGTGTCCATCGTGGGGGCTGTGCAAGCAGGGGGCAAGAGGGCCATTAATGTTTCTGTTGTGACATTTTTCTTTCCCCTCTCCCTCCTCAGGGCATCTTCATCAAAGATTCAAACTCTCTGGCGTATTACAACATGACGAGCGGCTCGCTCATTCACCTGGCGCTCAAGGAGAGAGGAGGCAGAAAGAAATAGGAGCTGCAGAGCCCGGAGACGCGATCCAGCTGCCCCACCGCTTGTGTAACCCCAGCACGCGAGTCCTGCAGCCCTCTGGGGCTGCTGTGGCAAGCTGTAGCAATATTAATTGATCACATGCAGACTCTAGCTTGGAAAGAGGCTGAACCTGGTGTTTGGATGGCTAATGGGAGAAGGGAGTTAATAAGGCCTGAAAGCTGTGTGAAAGTGGTGGCCTAATACGTGACTGCAGCAGTCTCTTGGTGATCAATGCTTTGCTAGAGTGCTGGTGTCCATCTTTGCTGTCTCTCTGTTGAATTCCCCGGCGAAGCCGCATTGAGGTCATGCCCAGCTTAGATTAGATCCATCTTTGTAGAGGGGCTTGTACTGATCAAAGATATAATCTAACTGCAGTGTTTGCAGCTTCATTTAACCGTTTCTAATTAAAAACTTCCTTTGCAGTACACTTAGTATGTCCCTTATTCCTTCTGTCTCACACCTATCTGCAAGAGTCCCTTGCGCTGACCCCGACTTGCAGTTTTATCTTCCCTCAGTATGAGTGTACACTGCCATTGGTTGTGATAAAGATGATCGGGGACTGTGCATGCTAAACAACTTCATGATTATCCCGTACAGTCTGTGATTTGTTTAAATAAACGCCTATCTCTCAGTGGGATTCTGTCTGCAGTGACTCTAGTCCTTTTTTTAGATTGAGATTATGCCTGACTTGAAAGCATTCAAGTTGAAAATGCTTTTTTTTTTTTTTTTCTTTTTCTACATGCCAACTACAAAAAAGCTTTTTTAGGAAAAGCTGCAAGAAAGGGTCTTAGTTTAACAAGAAGTTTAGCTTAGAAGTTTAAAAGCTACTGTTGTAATACAGATATATGGACATAAACATTAACATACAGGAGGTTACAAAGTCTTGCCTGAACTCTTATCTAACTAGTGAAAATTTCCTTGTAAAATGTAATACATGGTTTGTGCTTTTATCATCTCTTGGTCTGGAGAGCATTAGCTTCTGAAAAGAGGTCAGAGCTGTGCCAGTTTGATACAAATGTAACAGAGAACATGGTGAAACAAAACAAAAAAAAAGATTAAAAGGCATTTTAAAGAGGTTCAGGCAGATGCAGTTGTCTGTTGTTGCCCAGCAGCCACATGATGCTGGTGCCTCTGCTCTTCTTTTGGGGTAATCCAGCGTTAAGGACTGAGAGGGTTTTTATTGATGTTGTGGGGTGGGTTTTGTGGGTTTTTTGATTTATTTTTTGGTGCAGACCTTGGAGTAACATCCTGTTTACCTGATTTTAGGGTTAGGAAAGAGAGATTTGAGCATGGAGGAAGAGACAACATCCTCCAGCCTCCTCTGTGGCCTGGGCTCGGAGAGGAAGTCGCGGTGCTGGAAGCGGTGCCTGGCGCCGGCCCAGCCCAGGTGCCGGGCGCTCCTCCCAGCTGCTGCTCGTGACAGATGCGGGTGTCGGATGCCCACGTGTCTGCTGAGCTCAGCACTTAGTCACCCGAGCGCGTCCTGCTTCCAGTCGGTGCTGTAGGATATTGAGTTAACAGTTCCTTCGCAGGCGTGGGCAGGGTGCTTGCATGTACTGGGGATAGAGGTGCTCCTGCCCTGCAGGGAGATGTGCTAATTACTCCTGTTGGCTTTAAACAACCAGGCAAGAGGTACAATGTTCTTGGAAGGAACAACTCCCGGGGCCTAGCTTAGGGTCAGGGCTTTGGTGGCAGCGATCTGCTAAAACAGCGTGTGAGGGCCTAGCCCGCAAGGGGCCTTTCCACAGCAAGGGGCCATTGCTGGAATAGAAAGGAAAGTATTTGATCATTATGGCTCCTATACAGACAACAGCTGCCAGTAAGAAACTCTACTTCAGTAATCTGGGAAAAAAAAAAAGGAGCTTTAAAAGTCCATTTTGATTTGTGGCCCAGATAATGGGATGTCATTCTTTGTCAAGGCAAAAATTTCTTGTAATTTAGTTTGGTGCCACTGAGATAGTAAGACCACTACAGGGCAAGACGAGTTTGTCCATGCTCTGAAACATCCACAGCCCAGTCTATCATTCAGGAGGACATCCTGTGTCAAGAGAGGCCCCAAGTCAGTTGATCCTCTACATGCAGGATGCAGAAACATGTAAGTAGCAGCCTGATTTTCAGAGCTGCAGGAGGACTACAGCTTCCAGCACATCTATTCTGTTGAGCAGGCCTTTAGGACATGCCCAGGTTCACAGCCAGAGTAAGTGAGAGCACAACAGTGGGCTTTGGGAAGGCCACATGAGTAGTCTTGATTCCATATGGTTCCATAGTGTCTTTCTTCCTTTGACTGCCTCCTTCAACATACTGCCCTTTTCTCTTCGTGTATGATGAGGGAAACTACTTCAGATGCCCGCAGTCCTGCTGGGTACGTAACATCTGAGAAACAACACTCTGAAATGCTTTCTACACTAAGAACCTTCTCATTGCATCTAGTTAGCCCAAACACCCCCAAAATATTTGTTCCTTCTGGAAGCTTGTCGATGAGCACTGCAAGGAAGAAAGCTCTGACAGGAGAAGCAATGTTGCTGCTACCTCCTCTGCAAGATACGGATCTGGTGGGGCTGTCTTTCACATCACCCAGCTGTTCTGTGTAGCATGACCTGCCCCGATGCCTGGTGCAAGGAGCATCACCGTGCTCCCTCCTCAGGCACGCGGTTCCTCGCTGTCCCCAGATGCACGTGGGGCCGGTGCTTAGGTGACCGTCTTGGTCTTCAGCAAAGCCCAGGCCCTTCTAGGAGCCCCTGCCCGCATCCCGCACAGCGCTGAGTGCCCGGCGCTCCCACAGGAGCCTTCCTGCCCCTGGCTTCCGAGTGGGAGCACTAGGAAAAGTTTGCATGGAGCCCTGCCAAGGGCCAGCCACTTTCTATCTAAATATTACAGTCGAATATTAAAACAGACTGTGTATCCAGTGCAAAACAGCTCTTATCAGGGCCTTCCACTTAACGGGGGAGGATCTCCAAAGCTTCAACTGCCCGAAGAAAAAAAAAAAAAGAGTAGAGGTTGATGTAGTTGCTGATTTTACTGTCCTGTAGCTATCTCTTGTGAGGGGTCCTGACTCCAGTAAAGCCCCTCAGCAGTGTCCATGGGCCAAAGTGGTGTTTTGTGTTACTGCTGCAGCAAGTTTAGCCTCCAGCAGGCAGCCCTAACTTCACCAGGGCTGCAGAGGGGCTGGACGCCGGGCTGGAGCTCTAGGGACCCTCCTGCTGCAGAAGAGTCACTGGAAGGTTTCATCCAGCTCAGCTCAAAATGGATGCAAGAGCCAGTGCAGTCTGTGAAGGCTGTTTGTGCTGGGCCCTGATCCTTGTGTGCTTCATTTTTAGAACAGCTTGGGGACTTTTACCCCTGTGGGGTAAAGATGCCAAAGCTGCTGTTGGACAGTACTTTCCTGTTCTTGGTTTGGATGGAGAGCTGAGGAGAGGTGATAGCTGAAGAGGTTTCTCTAGGGAAATGGTATAGGCCAAGTGAGGAAACCACAACTCTAGTATGCTTATAAAGGAGATCACAAGCGTATTGTCTTTAAAGAATGCTTTTTTTGGTGTGTCTGTTGCTTTTTAACTGCAGAGCACAGCCCTGCAAGCACAGTGAGCATCATAGCTGCAGGGCTGAAGCTGCAGAAGAGCTCCCCGTGTTTCTGTGACTTGTGGGTGAAGCCTGGCTGTGGTTGACAGGGAGTTACCGGTTGGATCTGGTGCCTTAGGAGAGCACTGGGAGAGGCCAAAGACTGCACAGGTTGTGGAGATTAAGTCAGTGCCTCGGTTAAACCCTGTCACCAGCTGCCGCCTTTGGGCTGGCTCTGCGCTGGGCGCGGGGATGCCCTTGTGAAACTGCCCTCCCTGCCTGGCCCGGCCAGGGCTGAGGGGGCCGCTGGCCGCGGGGAGCTGCTGCTGGGCTGGGGGTTGTCCAGCAAGAGCCGCTGGATGCAGAGGAGGCGAAAGGGGCTCCTTGGGGGCCAGGACACCCCGAGGGGCTGCGGTGCGGCCACCCCCGCGCCAGCCGGGGTGGCCCAAGGGCCCTCCTAGAGGCGCTCGAGCCACCTTGGATCCGGCTGCAGCCCGGCCCTTCCCGGGCCTGCAGCAGCCC